TCCCTCCTCTCCTCCTCCTCCTCCTCCTTCCTCCTCCTCCTCTCCTCCTCCTCCTCCTCCTCCTCCTCCTCCTCCTCCTCCTCCTCCTCCTCCTCCTCCTCCCCTATCCGCCACCGCCCCTTTCCAGATGCAGATTGAAGCAGGCCAGGCCCTGTGGTACATTCGTTTTCCGAACGCCTACACGATAAGCCCGTGTGACTCCATGGGCCATAGTGCCTTGGAGAATAAGACCCGTTGGGCAAGACCCTCGCCTCGTGAGCACGGAAACTGCTGTTTCGTCTCGTCCTACTCCGCGCCTCCTCCTCCTCCTCCTCCTCCCCCTCCTCTTCGTTCTCCTTCTCCTCCTCCTCTTCGTCCTTCTCCTCCTCCTCCTCCTCCTTCTCCTCTTCCTACGCCTCCTCCTCCTCTTCGTTTTCCTCCTCCTCCTCTTCCTCCTCCTCCTCCAGCACCTCCGGCACCTCCAGCACCTCCTCCTCATCCTCATCTTCCTCCTCCTCCTTCTTCTCCTCCTCCGCCTCCTCCTCCTCCTCCTCTTGCGCACATCCCTGCGAGACATGAAGTCCGTGGTTTCCGATAGCAGCGACCACAAGCGTGAGAAAAAGACAAAGACAAGGAAACCAAAGGGCGGGGCGGCCGCCTAGCCGCCGACGGCGTCGCTTCCGACTAACCCTCGCCTTAGGCATGCGCAGTAGGCATGCACAGGAATACGCACACCGTCTCGGGCGGTGTGAAGTGTCCGATCGGACACGCCGGGGCAGATCGAGCAATACGGTCTCACAGATATTCAGAAACGACGGCGCAGCACCAGGTCGATGGCTAAAGAGCGAAAGGGATCCGAAAACCGCGCTGGCCATTGAATTCAGCCCGCGGAACGTCTCGAGCACTGCGCAATCCAATCCATAAAGCTTTCAAACGTGCAACCCAAGACTCATTCGCACGACGGCTTGCACCGCATATCGTGTTGAGGCTACTGACCCACTCTAGCTCGGGTAGCGACCAGGGGGTGGGCAGTGCGGAGAAGGGGCAGGGCAAGCGCGCAACAGTATCCATGGAATCCACAGCACGGGCGGCAACGCTCAGTGTCACAGCAAAGCGAAGCGGGCAGTTATCTTCCTGGGCCTTAGCCCACCTCAGCGGGGAAGAGGCCAGCATAACCCACAAGGTGGGCATCTGAACGAAAAGGCCTGGCACGCTCATCGAACCTCCCGCACCACGTCTCAACCCTGGGGGGCGCCAGCACGCCCAGCACTTGCCTGGTCATGGTCCGTTGCGTTATGTGAATACGCTGCTTCTCGAAGCCATGCCTCGCGGCCATCATTCACGCCGCCAGTGCACACCTTGCAAAACGCGTTTGCAAGAACATGCGTGCAAAGATAAATGACAGGCGCGCGCAAGATCGCAACACGGGGCACGAGCGCGGGAGAAGCCGCGTTCAA